TCCTGCCACCCCCAACCCACCAGTGCCCAGCAGGCCACTGGAAGCACTGAAACGCATCATTTAGTCACTCAGAGCCTGCTTGCTTTGGGTGCTCAGCCAGCCCCTGCTCCTCGAAGTTAATGGCCACAGGGATACTGCCATCAAAAGCAGCAAAGGTAGCACAGCATCGGGGTTGAGACTGTCACTTGGCATGCGATTATTGAGCATTGTTCCTGTTCGTGGCGCTGTGTGTTGAGCAGGGAGATGACAGCAAAAATGACACACACTGGCTGGGTGGGGAGTTGGCCATCACGATGGTGTATTCAGAGTACACTGTGGGGTGCATAGGGTGCTCCTGCTCATGGGTTGGGGGGGGAGGGGAGGCAGGAGCAAGAAAGGCATCTCAGAAGTGCCGTCTTAACCCAAATGAAGATGGGAGAGGGGGCTGGCCCAGAGCCTCTGGTCTCCCCCCTGGGAGAGGTGTCACAGTGGGGACAGGATGGGGCTGTTGATATTGCTGCCTCTGCCCATCTGGTCTAGCCTGCCCTGAGCCCTCTTGGCCAGCCTGTGAAACTCCTCATCAGCCCTAGAAACCCAGCTCGGGCCTTCCTCCTTCAGGGAATCCCCATCTCTGGGCTTCCCGTCTGCCTGGAATAGGAGAGGGTGTCACTATTTCTTCGTTACCTCTTTGTCCATCTTCCCCCCTCACTATACTGGGAGCTCTAGAAGACCAAAGAAGGATGCTAATTCCACCCTGGCATCCCAGTCCTTAGCAGAGTCTGGCTCAAATCAAGGGAATCTAAACACACATTGTATCAACCGTGAACTCACAAAATTCCCCTTGTCTGGTGGTACTTTTCTTTTCATCTGTGACACTGAAGCGTTGAAGAGGTGGTTTTGTGAGGGTACTCCCAACTCTCAAGTGACGAACTTGTGATCTAGGTGCTCAGTTCTCATACTCCAATGTTTGTGCATGTGTGTGCGCACATACATATACATATATGCTGTGATTAGAGGGAGGATGAAGAGGGCTGTTGCTTTGAAAAAAATGTGTGCTTCAGCAAACCCATAACTTCCTGGGGGGCTTAGGGAGTCTCCTGGCACCCCATCCTAGTCTCCCTCTTTTGAGGTCACCCTGAGACTGAGAAGGCACTGGGGGCCAGGGGTAAACTCATTTGGACTACCTGTTTTGCGTCATTTTTACCTCCATGTCCAGCAAAATGGCTTCTAAACTTTGTGGGCTTTTGTTATTTTTAAGTAACACACTTGTGTATCCCTCAATGCACAGAATTGAAAACCACCATATTGTCATGGTTGTTTCAAGTAATTTCAATTTAAAGGAACTAGACTATTACAGATAGAGTTAAAAGCCCTTTTATTCCCCATCTTCTGTGCTATTAAAAGTTCATTTACTGTACACTTAGGAATGGCTAAAAAGGTAAATATTGTTACTGTATATTTTATACATAAAAAACTTTTTAAAAAAGTTCATTTGTTCCCAATTCAGAGTTTGGGCACAGCTGGGTCTCCCACCTTTGTAGCTAGTAGGAAAAGAACTATGTTGTCCTCTCCTTGAACTGCTAACCATGGGTGTGGCTATAATCCCAACCTGCTCCTGGCCCAGGCTTCCCCATCGGCAGTCAGTGGCACTGCAATCCTCCCAGGCTTTGGCCCAGGTCCTGAACTTGTCCCCGCCCTCACCTCTATCCTAGTCTGTCAGCCAGCTCTGTTGCCCCACCTCCTGGTCATGTCCCCCATCCTCCGCTGTCTCCACCCTGGGCCACTCCAGGACCATTGCAAGAGGCTTGTCATGGGTCCTCCCTGCTTTCCTCTTAGGTCTCCTGCAGTCCATTTAGAGTGATCCTTTGAAGATAAGAGCCCTCATCCCCGTCCCCTGCTCCAAACTCCCCAATAGCTTCCCATCACACTTGGAATAAAACTCAACAAAGCCCTCTTGAGGCCCCTCTACCGTCTGGAAACTTCTTCCTCCACACAGCCACATGGCTTGCCCCCTCACTTCCTTTAGGTTTTTCTCTTCCCCCGCCCCCCAATATTACCACGTGGATTTTTCCATCACTGTGTTCTAATCAGCTCATTCCTTGGACACTCAGCTGGTCACAGCGTGGCCCAATGCATCGAGACCTTTCAGCCAGCGCCTATGTCCTTTTGACTCTCCTTATGACCCTCTGAGCCAGCGGCTTTCAACCTTGCACAGGGGTCGCCTAAGACCATCGGAAAACACATATTTTCGATGGTCTTAGGAACCGAGACACCGCTCCTCTATCCATCTCCAGGCCCACATGCAGGTACGCCCACATACGAGTACCTGGCGACCCCTGGGAAAGGGTCGTTCAACCCCCAAAGGGGTCGCGACCCACAGGTTGAGAACCGCTGCTCTAAGCGCTCCCCTGCCTTTTCGCCCCCACAGGCCACCCCAGAACCAGAACCACCCACTTCTCCCAGGGGCCAGCCAGGTTCCCTTCTGTGGACACCAGGCATGTTCCCTGCTCCTGGGATGTTATCGTTGGCCTTAGACTACGTACCACCAAGGCTGTACAGAGCACTGTGGTCAAAAGTATTTGAAACAAATCTCTTCTCTGTGGTATGTTATCAGTTTGATATAAATTCATTTATGTCTGGTTGCATTCAGTGTAATGTGATTTTGTTACCTTTTGTTTTCATTTTAATTTGGGTTATGTAAGCTTTTTACCCGATTCAGAAGTTGAAATTATGCTCTGGTGTACCCAGAGAGGCCTCGCCAGTTCCATTAATTTCTGCTGTGTGTTTCCTAAAGGCCCCTTCTTCTTTCTCACAAAAAAAGCAGCCTGTGGTCTGGGGCGCTCTCCATGGTGTGGCCATACTGTCGTCGTCTAGTCAGCAGGTCGCTGGTGGTGGCTGGCTGCGCTGTCTGCAGTCTGGGGCTTGTCAAAACAGTGCCGACGCAAATAACATCATTCTCTGTTGTTTTGCCTTTCTGGAGGTGTCTCTTAAGGGCAGATTTCTAGAAGGGATTGCCCTAGATTGCATTGACACCCTTGATTGTATCTAAGAGGCATTCCTGGGGCATGCGGCTTGTACTTGACTTCATGATGGTGAAAGGATTTGGGGAATACAAATGAGAGTTCTGAAGAAGCCAGACCTTTTCCATTGGTGCAGTGGTTTTCTCTGACTGCGGGACTGTCGGGGTTTCAGGGAGCAGCCCTGTTTAGGCAGTGCCCCTGTGGACTGTGCGGAAGTGGTGATTCCAGCCTGCCTGGCTGGCTCTCAGCTGTGGCCGAGCTCCCCTTCTCCCTCTGGGATCATGGGCCATGGGCCACACCCAGCTCCCCAGGGTTCTTCATCATTTCCTGTTGAGAAGCTAAGACTGGGAGAATTGAAAAGTAGGCTCCGTTCTAGAATAGGCTAGGGAGCCCCACTGTCCAGCAAGAAAAGGCCTCCTGTGGGCCGAAGGCTGAATCCAGGTGACCCTGGCAGCCACTCTCAGGGCCCTAAATTGCCGGACGAAGAGCCAGAATAGGGAGGAATGCGGGTGAACCTGAGGAGGCCCTGGACACACCCTTGCCACCACCTGTCTCCCCACACCTGACCTTGGCTGTTCAGGAAAGCCATGTTCTTGTGGTGCCAAGTGAGTCCTCGTGCTAACCCACCTTCGGTGACTTGCCCACATCCTTCAAGTCTGGTTTTGAGTGCACACCACAGTGCCTTCATTGCAGTCTCCACAGTGTGGACAGGAAGGGAAGTCACTTGGGGTAGACCAGCCACGGGGCAGTGACCCGTGCAGACATGAGCTGGGTGGGACAGCGCAGCTCTAGGGCTGAGACACAGAGAACAAGAATAGTCTTGCCCTTTTCCAGAATAAACTGCTAGCCGAGGGACTAGCAGATGATTGATTCTGAGCCCACAATTCTTTCTAAACCTCCCCTGGCCCCGGCTGTATTCTTGCCCTCTTCGTCCAGCAAGAGCATTATGGACAGACTCTGACCCCAGGGTCCAGGGCCTCACGGTGAGCATTTCTGAAGTACATAAGGAAGGGACCCTACCAGACGGAACCAAAGTGTGGGGAAGGGGCTGCTCTGTCAGCATGAAAAGTGGAGAGGCACCCTCCCTGGAACGGCACAGATGCTCCTCGATGCCTTTCTCCTTGCTCTTCCACCCCACCCACAAGGCCTTGTGTCATAAGGGAGCATCTAGTGATAAGGGCTCACCTGGCCTGGGATCACTTCTCATGCCAGAACTCCAGGCAGCAGTTTCTGATTGCCCGAATTAGCCTGTATTTATATAGCACTTTTGTGACTTTTCTTCCTCTGGGATGTTGGTACCTGTTACTGAGATGAGGAAACTGAGGCATGGGATATGAGGTCGCTTGCTCAGGTCCGTGTTTGGAAATGTCAATAAGAATTTGAGCTCAGGTTGGCTGGCTCCAAACCTGTGTGCTCTTTCCACAGTGCTGAGCTGTGTGCCACCTCCCAAGGGGGTAGTGAGGGGCTGTGTTCCCATCAGTAGGTTGTACTGTGCCCTACAGCAGTTGTTTGTCGATCACACATTTGAGAAAACCCCAAACACAAGCTGTAGTAACACCCAAGCCAGGCCTTTGAGCCCCACCCCCGTGTTGGGTGGGCAGCTCCCTCTTCAGCAGCCCAGGGCCACCTCCTGTCAGCCATCAAGCCCAGAGGCCCTCTGGTACAGCTCATAAAGTGGCCTCTGCCAAGGTGGCATGCTGAGAAGCCACACGGCATTTCTACTCAGAAAAATGCCACCTGTGTAGGCCGCTCGCTCTCCTGCATGTTACGGGTGGGACTCAGGGTGGCCACAGTGCATGTCGAGTGCAGTTGGCCACCACTGCCAGCAGCCCTAAAGAAATCTGTGCAGGGAAGACCATCAAGGCCTGGTGAGCACCTGCGGGGCAGCCCCAGCTCCCAGAGCCCTTACCTGCGCTGGGCTGCCCTGAGCCTGCCCACGCTCACTTTTTCTGCAAACCGGTGTGTACTCTGTGATACTTACATACTTGTTTAACACTTCAGGGAAGAAAAGTCAGAAGACCAGGATCTCCAGGGCCTCAAGGACAAACCCCTGAAGTTTAAAAAGGTGAAGAAGGATAAGAAAGAAGACAAAGAGGGCAAGCATGAGCCCTTGCAGCCGCCAGCCCACCACTCTGCTGAGCCAGCAGAGGCAGGCAAAGCAGAGACTTCGGAAGGGTCAGGCTCAGCCCCAGCCGTCCCAGAAGCTTCTGCCTCCCCAAAACAGCGGCGCTCCATCATTCGTGACCGGGGACCTATGTATGATGACCCCACTCTGCCTGAAGGTTGGACCCGAAAGCTTAAGCAAAGGAAATCGGGCCGCTCTGCTGGGAAGTATGATGTGTATTTGATCAAGTAAGTAAGGGCAACTCCTGTCTCTACAGAGCTGGGAGGGCTGGGTGGGAGGGAGGTCAGGGACAGATGCTGAAAACTATGGGGATCCCTTGGAGTAGCAGCTCTTTGCTGCTAGTTGATCAGAAAAATGTGCGTGCGTAACCCCTCCTGAGGTCAGGGAGGGGGCTTCAGTAATGAACACCGCTTTCCAGAGTGACCAGGTATGCTGCGAATGGCTGTATACAGAGGTCTCTGCCCTGAGTGAGATGTGCACCGGGTGGCAGAGTGTGACTTTACCCTGCCAGCCTTTGAGGCCTCGTCTGGAGATGGACTCACAGTAGGGCCTACTCAGGGCTGCAGTGAGAATGCCAGGAGGGGTCGGTCACCTGGGAAGCAGTGAGGTCATGCGGCCTGCCATCTGCAGTGGCCTGGGCTCTGGAAGCAAGTGGAGCTTGGGGTTCCTGCCGGTTTCCGGCTGGAGAACACCCAGCCAAGGGACTCTTCTCAGAACTGTTAACCTCATCTTCTTTCTGGGAGAGTTTTGCTGTGACATTGCTTCCTGAACCAGAAGAATTAGGAGTTCTTAGGGCTCAGTCCACTCTGAGAATTATGTTGGGAAAGGTGGGCTCTTGGACAGGGCCCCTGGGGAGAAACACAAACGGATGCCATGTGCCTTTCCAATTGTCTCTTTTGCGTTTGTCCAGCTTTGGGGGAGGTCACTGGATGTTTTCTGTTGAAACAGTAACTTCCAAACCCGAGCTGCAGAGGAGGAGTAAATAAGGACATTTCAGTTCTGTCCCTTAGTCAATCCTGAAATGGTTAGCAGTTTTCAAAGGACATTTGCAGCCTCGTTTGGTTCCAGCAAGTCTGACAAGAGTGAGCAAAGCATTACCTACTGACAGATGAGGAAACCGATTTCCAGAGATGCTAAATATTGGGTTGTCAGAAAAGTCATGACGCATGTTTGCGACAGATGGCACTAGTTCAGTTTTGGAAGTACTAGAGTCATTCGTATCTATGTTATTGCTATGTCATTTGACAGCCAACAGTTCTAGCTTCATTCTAAAAAAAAATTGAGCGATTTGGTTGTGTTTTGGAGATTTGACAACAAGTTGAAGATGGATGACCAAACTGTGTATTTTCGCCATGTTTTACTGTTTTCCTTCCATAAAGGGAAGAATGTGCTTCAGGCTTGTGAAAGGTTGCATAAAGTTTACGGTGACAATGCTCTACAAGAACATCAGTGCCAACGATGGTTCACGAAATTCCGTGCTGGTGATTTTGATCTCAACGATGCTCCTCGGTCAGGGAGGCCCACCGAGGTTGATGACGACAAAATAAAGGCATTGATTGAGTCAAACTCACTTTACACGACACGAGAGATTGCAGAAACATTGAACATCCATCAATCGAGCGTTCACGACCACCTGAAGAAGTTGGGATATGTAAGCAAGCTCCATATTTGGGTTCTGCATGAACTCAAAGTAGTTCATTTGACGGTGTGTATAAACATCTGCAATGTGCTCATTAAACGTGAGCAAACGATCCTTTTATGAAGCAACGGATAACTGGTGATGAGAAGTGGATTGTTGACAACAATGTGGTGCACAAACGATCTTGGTCCTGACATGATGATTTGCCTCAAACGACATCGAAAGCAGACATTCGTCAAGAGGAAGGTTATGCTCTCAGTGTGGTGGGATTTTAAAGATGTCGTGTTAAGAGCTCGCTCAAGAGCGGGAGCTCTAAGCAACTAGCAGTTTGACGCCCAGCCCGAGCTGAGCTGCTGCTGAGCTGCCAACAAGCGGCAGGATGGCTCAGCTTAAAAAAAAAAAAAGAGTCGTGTTTTCGAGCTCCTACCAAGGAACCAAACAATCAATTCAAATGTGTACTGTCAGCATTTGGACAGTTTGAACGAATCCATCATCCAGAAATGTCCAGAGCTTGTTAATTGTAAAGGAGTTGTGTTCCATCGCAACAACGCGAGACCACACACAAGTTTGATCACCAGTCAAAAATGATTGGAGGGCTGGCCGAGTGGTGCGATGGTTAAGAACTGGCTTGGGATGCCAGAGGGCCCCGGTTCAGATCCCACATATGAGGGCCAGTGACACTGCCCTCTACAGCTAAGATGCTGAACAACAGCTCGACCTGGAGCTGGGCTGCAGTGAGTCTCCAGTGACGGGCAGGTGGGTTGCCATGGGCTACCGTGTGTGGCCAGCAGCCAGCGTGAGCAGCCAGCAGCCGCAGTGAGCGACCGTCCAGAAACCAGCGACTGTTCTGCCTCATCTGGGAAGAGTGCAATGATGGTGCCAGCTTGGGCCAGTGAAGCAATGTCCTCCACAACTAGACTGAAGAACAAAACGACAGCAACTTGTCTGCTCCCCTTCCCCCACTTCCCCAATAAAAATCTTTAAAAAAAAAAAAGATTGGAGCTTGGATGGGATGTGTTGCCACACCCACCATTCTTGCTTGACCTTGCGCCGTCAGACTTCCACTTGTTTCGCTTTCTTCAAAACTCCTTGTGTGGTATAACGTTCAATTCAGATGAGGCTGTAAATCAGCACCTTGTTCAGTTTTTTGCAAATGAAGACAGGTCCTTCTATGAACGAGGAATTATGAAGCTCACTGAAAGATGGCAAAAGGTTATCGAACAAAATGGGCACTATATCATTGATTGATCTTTGTTCTTTATATAAATAAATGACCTTTGAAAAACATAGACAAAATATGTCATGACTTTTCCGACAACCCAATAGCATGCACAAGTTCAGACAAAGGGCAGATCGGGCCCAGGCACCAGCCAGCAGAATGCGCCCCAGCCTGATGGCTAGACAGGGTTCCCAGGACGGACCCTCTTGGGGGCCAAAGGAGGAGCCTCAGTGGCAGGCAGGTCCTTGGTGGCATCTAGGCAACAGCTGTGGAGCAGCCAGCACCAAGCTATTCTGACATCGGAGCAGGCCATGCCAGCACCCACCACTGCGCGGCAACCCAGTTACCTCATGTGTAACTGTGGTGGTGCCCATCTAGTTTTAGCTCATCTTGGCTTTTCATAAATGTGACTCTTTTTCAATGATCTCATCAGGCGTGTCAGCTACACAATGCCTTCTGTCAGAGTTCATCAACACCTTCTGCTCTGCTCCATCTCCGACATTGCTCTGGGAGCTTCTAATCATTTTTTGTGTCTCTCCATTTGTTCCCACAGTCCCCAGGGAAAAGCCTTTCGCTCTAAAGTGGAGTTGATTGCGTACTTCGAAAAGGTAGGCGACACCTCCCTGGACCCTAATGATTTTGACTTCACGGTAACTGGGAGAGGGAGCCCCTCCCGGCGAGAGCAGAAACCACCTAAGAAGCCCAAATCTCCCAAAGCTCCAGGAACTGGCAGAGGTCGGGGACGCCCCAAAGGGAGCGGCACCGCGAGACCCAAGGCAGCAGCATCAGAGGGTGTGCAGGTGAAAAGGGTCCTGGAGAAAAGTCCGGGGAAGCTACTCGTCAAGATGCCTTTTCAAGCTTCGCCCGGGAGCAAGGCTGAAGGGGCTGGGGCCACCACGTCGGCCCAGGTCATGGTTATCAAACGGCCTGGCAGGAAGCGAAAAGCCGAGGCTGATCCCCAGGCCATTCCCAAGAAACGGGGCCGAAAGCCGGGCAGTGTGGTGGCGGCTGCTGCCACTGAGGCCAAGAAGAAAGCTGTGAAGGAGTCGTCCATCCGGTCTGTGCAAGAGACCGTGCTCCCCATCAAGAAGCGCAAGACCCGGGAGACAGTCAGCATTGAGGTGAAGGAGGTGGTGAAGCCCCTGTTGGTGTCCACGCTCGGCGAGAAGAGCGGGAAGGGACTGAAGACCTGCAAGAGCCCTGGGCGGAAAAGCAAGGAGAGCAGCCCTAAGGGGCGCAGCAGCAGTGCCTCCTCGCCCCCCAAGAAGGAGCACCACCACCACCACCACCACTCAGAGCCCCCGAAGGCGCCTGTGCCGCTACTCCCGCCCGAGCCCCAGAGCTCCGAGGACCCCGCTAGCCCCCCTGAGCCCCAGGACTTGAGCAGCAGCGTCTGCAAAGAGGAGAAGATGCCGAGAGGAGGCTCACTGGAGAGTGACGGCTGCCCCAAGGAGCCAGCTAAGACTCAGCCCGCAGTCGCAACCGCCACCACGGCTGCAGAAAAGTACAAACACCGAGGGGAGGGAGAGCGCAAAGACATTGTTTCATCCTCCATGCCAAGGCCAAACAGAGAGGAGCCTGTGGACAGCCGGACGCCCGTGACCGAGAGAGTTAGCTGACTTTACACAGAGCGGATTGCAAAGCAAACCAACAAGAATAAAGGCAGCTGTTGTCTCTTCTCCTTATGGGTAGGGCTCTGACAAAGCTTCCCGATTAACTGAAATAAAAAATATTTTTTTTTCTTTCAGTAAACTTAGAGTTTCGTGGCTTCAGGGTGGGAGTAGTTGGAGCATTGGGGATGTTTTTCTTACCGACAAGCACAGTCAGGTTGAAGACCTAACCAGGGCCAGAAGTAGCTTTGCACTTTTCTAAACTAGGCTCCTTCAACAAGGCTTGCTGCAGATACTACTGACCAGACAAGCTGTTGACCAGGCTTCTTAGGGTACGCCTGCACTTCCCCTCCCACCCAGACCTCCCCCCATGTGGTCGTTAAGGACAGAGAGCACTTGAGAGAACACTCCCATTTTCGGTGCCATTGGTGCCCCAGTCGCAACTCTCCTCTCCCTCCACCCTGCCCCCAGCTCCCCCACCTCCCCCACTCCCACCCACGTTGGGACAAGGAAGTGTGAGGCAGGAGAGACAGGTGGATTCTTTAGAGAAGAAGACAGAGATGGCCAGTGGCTACAGCCCGTGTGATCCCACCTGTGGTGGCACAAATCTGGCCCCACGCCAGCCCCAATCCAAAACCGACAAGGACATTTCACAAGACAGGGAAGTCGTGCCTGTTCGCTCCAGTTCTGGCATGGCTCCGAGGGAGTCATCCTTTGAGCTGCTGGGTGTAGACTGGCCTGAGCCGGAGGAGAGGATGGCCCAGGGCCGGCCTCCAGTGGATGGCACTAGACAGAGGCCATGGAGGCAGCAGGACGAGGCGCAGGCAGGCTGGCCGGGCTCCGGACCGGCAGAGCACAGCAGGGCAGGAGGGACTCCTGGTCTCTCAGAGCAGTCTGTGACTGGCAGAGGCTCAGTGGGGCAGGGGCAGGGGGACGGAGGGGAGATTGTTCTTCCAAAACTTTCCAATTCTACTCCTTAGGGACAGCTTAGAACTATTTGCACTATTGCGTCTTCATGTTCCCACTTCAAAACAAACATGCTCTGAGAGCAAACTGGCTTGAATTGGTGACGCTTTGTCCCTCAAGCCACCAGATGTGACGGTGTTTAGAACTGCCTGGATCTGTAGATACCTGCGCTTGTTTTAAAGTGGGCTCAGCACATAGGGTTCCCACGAAGCTCCGAAACTCTAAGTGTTTGCTGCAATTTTATAAGGACTTCCTGATTGCTTTCTCTCCTCTCCCTCCATTCCTGCCTTTTGTCATTTCATTCTTTCATTTCTTCCCCTCCCCCCTCCTCATTCATCCCTTGTGTTCCAAGCAGCCGCAGTGCCCAACTGTACCCCAAGCCGATGCTGGTCAGCTCATGCCCCCAGAACTCGCCCTGCCCTTGGCCTTCCCGCCACCAGCTGCAGCCCCATCCCGTTCTGAACCCTGGGGAAGCCCCGAGTTCTGCTGAGTCTACCTGGCCCTAGCGCCGCGGCCTCTCTGAACGGCAAGAGAGCAGCAAGGTCTCGCTCTCCTAGGGAGCCCTTTCCCTGGTCAGAGCCCGGACACCGGGCCTCCTCAGCCTTCCACTTGAGAGAAGTGGGTGGGAGAAGTTGGGCCAGATTTCGATTTGGGAGCTGAGGGTAATACAGAGGCCCCCGGTGGCCTTCCAGAGTCATCGAGAGACCCAGCCCAGTGCAGAGCAGCTGACGGAACAATGCAGATGCCCCCAGACCTGAGCTGGCACCAGCGCCTAGGGCCTCCCTCCTCCACCCCAGGTTCCTCCATTAACCACAAGTTCTTTTCTAATGGAAAACTTTTGGCTTTTGCTTGCTGGAGACTGGGTAGGGCCAGTACATCACACATGTCCACGTCTGCGCCAGGGGTGTTGCGTGGGGGCTTAGAGGCTTGGGTTTGCTGTGGGATCGCATCCCTTTAACCTCCCTGTTCAGGAAGTCCTTATCTAGCTGCATATCTTCATCATATTGGTATATCCTTTTCTGTGTTTACAGAGATGTCTCATATCTAAATCTGTCCAACTGAAAAGTACCTTATCAAAGTAGCAAATGAGACAGCAGTCTTATGCTTACAGAAACACCCACAAGCACGTCCCATGTGAGCTGCTGCCATGAACTGTCAAGTGCGTGTTGTCTTGTGTATTTCAGTTATTGTCCCCTGGCTTCCTTACCGCGGTGTAACCATGAAGGAGTGAAACATCCTAGAAACCGTCTAGCACTTCCTTGCCAGTCCTTAGTGATCAGGAACCATAGTTGACAGTTCCGATCAGTAGCTTAAGAAAAAAAAAAACCGTGTCTGTCTCTTCCAGAATGGTTAGAAGCAAGGGAGTTTGCCCCGTTCAGTTTCTAGAGTCATAGCTGTCCTTTCTAGCATTTTTGTATCCATTTCCTTATGCTGCAAAAGCAAGTCCCACAACCAACCCCGCTCTGCTGTCAACCCTCTGGGCTTCACTTCTGACTCCTCCCCAGGAAGGGAAGGGGGATCAGGGGGTGGGGAGCGAGTCCTTCATTACCCCTCTTCCTCCAAGGACAAAAGGCTCCTGACCCCACAGTGGCCTTGCACTCCCAGCACCCCCAAAAGGCATCTAGCCACGTGAGCATGGCATCCAGCCAGTTTGTCATGGAGATGCCGTCTGTTTTGCTTGGTGGGGTTTTTATGCGTTAAACCAAGCCCAGTGAAATGCGGCTCCTGGGACTAATGTCAGGAGCTGTCCTCCCCGTCGGCTCGGTATCATCTGGTCCTGGGAAGAGGAGTGTGGGGCCCACCAGGCCCCCCTTTCACCCATGACAGTTTATTCAGGGGCTGACTGGGAATTGGTGGTCGAGAACATAGCGTTTCAAGGGTCTTTTTCTTTCTGTCTGGCCCCCTAGCTCCCCAGCTTCTTCCCCTAGAGTTCCAAAGCTGCAGGCAGTGCCTGAGGCTCTTTAGGGTTTTCTCTCTCTCCCCCCTTTCTTCCACATTCTCTCTTCCCCAAATAAAGGCATCACAAATGAGTCACCTTTTAAGCAGGCTGCCTTGGCAGTTTGTCACCCTGGCGGGCAGGGGCCCTGCAGCTCCCATGCCACCCCTGTCCTGGAGTCAGGTTGACGGGAGGTTGGAGGGGAAGCCTAAGCCCTGGGATTCTCACCAGCTGTGTCGGGCCCATTTTGGGGTGTGACCTCAATTTTGTGTGTACTTGAACACCACAAAGATTGGGGGACATCTTTTAGGGACTGTGCGAAGAATACAGGAATGGACCGATGGCTTTCAGATCCCCGTGGGCCAAGGTCACAGAAAGTCGCGTTCAGCCTCCCGAACCCTCATTCTAGCTGTTAGTTACTACCTCCTCTCTCAATAGAATTCCGTGTGTCCTCGAGCTCCTCCCACAATGCCCCGCCCAGCCCTGCCTGCCTGTCATGGGCTTGTCCTAACCAGTGGAATTGCCGGCCTTGACACTGCAGTGAACTGGGGAAACGGGGCCACAGCCAGGCTCTAGTACAGCTCCCTTCCGCTGGCACAGGAGACACCTAGAAATGCCTCATCCCCAGTCCATCAGTGCCAAACTAGTCAACGACCCCAGCGCCTCAGCTCCCTGGAAGGTAAAAGTCGTGGTGGCCTGGGATCACAGGCCACAGCCAGCACCTGGCTTCTACTCCTGAGACCCACCCTTTGCAGGTGCGGGCAACAATCTGTTCAGTGGCATCATTCCAGGCTAGAGGCCAAGAACAGTGGCAGTAGGACCCGGAGCAGCCCCAAGTTGCTGTCTCCTCCTCTGCCCAGCTTGTCATTGCTGTTACAGCGATCATGAAAGGGTACTAGCCAGAAACAAACTTCCACGTCTGGTGGGGAAGGAGTTTCCTTAGCTGACAGGACATCTGGATTTTAAGTAACTCTTAAGAAGCAGCTCAAGCCCAGGAAGGAGCAAAGGTTATGAACTGAACTCACCAGGTGGGGCTGACTGGATCTCGGAGAGCATTCCCGCCAGGCTCACTGAGCTGACGGGGTCAGGGGAGGTCACAGGTACTGGTTCTTGGAGAAGACCTTTGTGCATCCATTCCTAGCCGCTGTCGTTGCCCCAAATTGCTTCCTGGTGCAAGTCATGCACAGAGTCTAGGACCCATGGCCCAGACCTCGGGAAGCAAGCTGTGTCTAGAGCCCCGTGGGCATTTACCTAGCCAGTCCCCCAAGTGCAGCACAGCGACGATGTCGCCAGGCCTGTTGGTCGAGCCCCTGCCATGTCAGTTTCCCACTCTTACTCTGCTCTCTGCAAGGGCCCATCTTCGCTCTCTTGGTCAGTGAGCCTGTCCGCTCGTGGAGAGGTTTGTTGACTCTCCATTTTTGTGTCTTTCTCTTTTAGATCAATCTTTAGAAAAAGGCCTAATTGTTACAAATCGCTAGGATACTGCCTCCCCCAGGGTCTGAAGTTACATATTAAAGGGGGAAAAAAGTGTACACTGAAACCGGTTCTCAACAATTCAGAAGGAAAACCTAGAAAATATTTGGCAGAAAATTACATTTCGCTGTTTCTGAATGAATAAGAGCAAGCTTTTGCTGATCTAAAAATACTTGGAGCTTGACCTGAAGTGTGGTGAGCGCAGCAGGTGAAGGGGATTCCAGCCCGAAACGCTGGATCTGAGACTCAGGGCCATCCTGTCACTGGAGAGCCCGTTTCTCCTTGCGTAGCAGTCCCTGAAGATTCAGCTGCCGTCCTGTCCTGTGGGGCGGCCTGGAGGTTACAGCTCGCCTGGTCCCAAAGCTGCAGGAGCCCAGCTCTTGGTTTGAGAAGCTGAGCATTCACCAGGGACTCGCGAAGGCCTGCACCATTACCACTCCCCAGCGCCACCTGTTTCTTGCTCCATTCTCATCTCCACAGAGCCTACCCGAAGTACTGATTTGTCAGGAAAATAATGAATTCTAACTAGGGCCCAGGCAACTAGGAAGGAGAAGGTGACGTCTCCCCCTTGGCCTCTGCCTGTGGCACAGCCTGTCCCCTAAGGACATTCCCCTGCTTTGCTCTCCTTGGGGTCTAGGGCCTGGTAAAGTGGCACTCCCTTCTGAACTCGGAGGTGAGGACAGAGGCCTGAGCACTCACTGTGGTGTGTGCCCCCCTCGTCCCTCACCCTCGAGAGCCCCAGGGGCAGAGGGAGGGTGGGTGTGAAGACAGGTGCTTCCCCCACCCACCACCAGCAGAGCCAAGACCCTCACAGGGGAAATCTGGCCTCTGAGTTTCAGAGCATTTATGAAACTTGCAAATTGTCTTTGCTCCCCTAGCTCCCCCTTCTGTCTTACCTTTTCTCAGGTCCTGCTCAGCAGCGAAAGAAAACGAGATGAAAATGCCAAGAGGTTTTTGGCTCCTGCCCACTGGTAGTCCCTCTCCCCTCAGTGTTTGTGTGTCAAGTGACAAAGCTGTTCTTCCTGGTGACCCTGATTATATCCAGTATCTTATAGACTATACACATAGGCCTGCTTGGTCTCCTCTATCCTGGGCTTTTGTTTTGCTTTTTAGTTTTGCTTTTAGTTTTTCTGTCCCTTTTATTTAATGCACCGACTAGACACACAAAAGCAGTTGAATTTTTATATATATATATCTGTATATTGCACAATTATAAACTCATTTTGCTTGTGGCTCCACACAAAAAAAGACCTGTTAAAATTATACCTGTTGCTTAATTACAGTATTTCTGATAACCATAGCATAGGACAAGGGAAAATAAAACAAAAACAAAAAAACAAAAAAAAAAAACAAAAAAACAAAACAAAAAAAACGACAAATCTGTCTGCTGGTCACTTCTTCTGTCCAAGCAGATCCGTGGTCTTTCCTCGCTTCTTTCAAGGGCTTCCCTGTGCCAAGCAAAGGAGGCTCCAGGCAGCACCCGGGTTTTACACTGTTTCTCCCGTGCTTGTGAAAGAGGTCCCAGGATGCTGGTGCAGGACAGTTCACCTCAGCGGGTGGGTGCGCGAGCGCTCCCTTGCCCTCGCGATGTCCGGAATGTAGTTGGCACCGCCTGGTCCCCTTCCACCTCTGGGTGGGGCAGCTGGAGTCCACAAGGGTGGCCTGACCCCCCATCCCTTCTAGTGACCCGGTCAGAGTGATCTTGTGTGGAGAGTCGGCTCAGCAGGCCTCCCCGCCAGTAGGACTCCCACTTTACTGAGTCCGGGGGGCTGGTGGGGAGATGGGAGGCCTGTCACGTCTCTGAATGTGTGAGCCACACCAGGTAGAATGCCAGGGACCCCAGAACCACATAGAAGAGCCCAGTGGGTCCCCTCCAGGAGGTAGCAGACTCCAGAAATGTCCCTTTCTCTTCTCCCCCATCCTATGAGTAATTGCATTTGCTTTTGTAATTCTTAACGAGCAATATCTGCTAGAGAGTTTAGCTGTAACAGTTCTTTTTGATCGTTTTTTAAGTAATTAAAAACACCAAAAAAAAATCTAGAAACTTGTTCTTCCAAAGCAGAGAGCATTATAATCACCAGGGCCAAAAGCTTCCCTCCCTGCGTCATTACTACTTCTGAGGCCTGAATCCGAAAGAGAAACACTCATAGGCCCTTTGGGTGGCTGGGCTACCGTCGGGCCCCTTGGAGGACCTGGTCTGGGGCCCACTCCAGCCTGCGTTCAGTATTAGCGGTGGGTCATGATGTCCTTGCCCACCCAGCCTGGGATGGGGCCAAGGAGGCAAGGAGGCCATTGCCACTGATGCTTGGCCCCTAACAGGTGGGTGCCCACCTGTGTCTGCGTGCATGCTTTGTGACGGAAATGTGAAATCAGCGCCCGAGTTAGCCTCACCCTGTGACCTCTCGCCCCGCCGGGCCAGAGCGGGCCCACCCAGTTCAGTGTTTCTGGGGAGCTGGACAGTGGAGTGCAAAAGGCTTGCAGAACTTGAAGCCTGCTCCTTCCTTTGCTACCAAGGCCTCCTTTTCCGTTTGATTTGTCACTGCTTCAATCAATAACAGCCGCTCCAGAGTCAGTAGTTGAATATATGACCAAATATCACCAGGACTGTTACTCAATGTGTGCCGAGCCCTTTCTTCGCGCTGGGCTCCTGTGTACCCGGACACTGTAACGTGTGCTGTGTTAGCTCTCCTCCCCTCCCCCCTCGCCTTCCCCTCGTCTTTCTGGGGGTTTTCTGTTTGGGTTTGGTTTGGTTTTTATTTCCCCTTTTGTGTTCCAAACATGAGGTTCTCTCTACTGGTCCTCTTAACTGTGGTGTTGAGGCTTATATTTGTGTAACTTTTGGTGGGTGAAAGGAACTTTGCTAAGTAAATCTCTTCTGTGTTTGAACTGAAGTCTGTATTGTAACCATGTTTAAAGTAATTGTTCCAGAGACAAATGCTTCTAGACACCTTTTCTTTACAAACAAAAGAATTTGGAGGGTGGGGATGGTGACCAAGATGAGAGGGGCTGTCCTATTTCCCCAGGAGGGGAGATCCAGAGAGATGACCCCTGCTCAGATCAGCCAGAAGCCACCCAAAGAAGTTAAGCCTATGCCAGCGGACTGAATAGCTGATGTGTTGCCATTTTCAAAGTCCAAGCAAAACCAGGTCTTGTTCCACCCAGTGGATTCTTTTGCCTTTTTTTCCCCCAAGATTATTGGCATCATTGCTATTTTTAAGAACAGACAGGTTTATGTTCCTGCAAGGGGAGTCAGGAGGGGTGTGAGCAGGGCCAACCTGGCCTTGGTGGGAGGAGGATGGGGTGGGCCTGAACGGCTGTGGCTCAGACGAAGTGGGGGCATCTCCCTGGAGACCTCTGCTGTGGCCACAGGTCAGGCATATGTTGACGGGGCAGATTGGCCACTCTTCGCCTGATGCAGCTCTTTCTGTACAGGCCAGGTGGTGGGCATTACCATTTAGGACACCTCAATCACATCCAACCCGCCCCACAGTGCCCGACACTCGTGTGACCTCTCAGTTCCCACCCACTCATGTGATAAGATGTGGAGGGTGCGCTCTCTTTACTGTCATCCAATTCCCAGCAAAATTTGGACGTGAGAAACCCCTTTCCCTTTCCATGGCAAAACCAGATCCTTCTCAGAGAAGCTGTTCCCCCCACCAGACGTTGTTTTGGGTTCACGGAACAGGGACAGATGTGTGCTCCCCTTAGCGCCGGGCGGCACCTCCTCCGAAAGGTGAGGACAGTGCTGACTGTAGTGACCATTTGCACATGGGGTTTAGTAGTGGGTAGAACCAGGCAGGGTGGCTGCCCCCTCCCAAGTCTCAGTGACACAGGCCAGCCACCCTGTGCAGAGGGAAGTCCGGCCGAGGGTGGGAGAGGTATGCATGAGGCCTGGGGAGCCACCCAGGACAGACTTGGCTGGAGATGTCTCGAAAAGCCCTCTATCATATTCACCTTCAGTTTTTGTGTTTTGGGACAATTACTTTAGGAAATAAGTAGGTCGTTTTAAAAAACAAAAAATATTGATTGCTTTTTTGTAGTGTTCAAAAAAAGGTTCTTTGTGTATAGCCAAATGACTGAAAGCACTGATATATTTAAAAACAAAAGGCAATTTATTAAGGAAATTTGTACCATTTCAGTAAACCTGTCTGAATGTACCTGTATACGTTTCAAAAACACCCCCCACTGAATCCCTGTAACCTATTTATTATATAAAGAGTTTGCCTTATAAATTTACATAAAAATGTCCGTTTGTGTCTTTTGTTGTAAAATCAAGTGATTTTTTCATAAGGTTCTTTTACTATTTGAAAAGATGGGCAGCACGCAGTTTTATTTTATTTTTGTAAGTTTTTTAATACGTGTGAAAGCAAAGACTACTCAGCATGCCTTTCTAAGTGACGCGTTTGCACCTTTTGTTGGGAAGTACTGTATCCTGTGCTGTTAGCATTCTCGATAAATCTCTCTGTGAAAGTGACTCAAGGTCTGGGCTTTCATTATCAGACAGCTCACAGGACAGCATGGTGGAGTGTTTCCTGATTCAGCCTGGCTGTCCCTGAACACAGAGGAGAGCCAGCTGCTTTCAGGACTGCCTTGGGAGGAAGGGCAGCCCGCTCCATACACCACCTCCCCTTGGGTGCTCCAAGGCCGCCCTTTCCAGGCACACTGCTCCTGCATGTGTGGGGAAGCTCTGGGCGGCAGGCTGGGAAGGGCCTGGCACAAATCTGCCCGCTAGGTCAAGAGGCAGGTGGGCTGCAGACCCTATGCACAATGGCACAACTTCCTGTTCCTAAGGGCCACGGGAGGGGTGCCTCTTTGGTCGGGATGTGCCCAGGTGCTTTTGGAAATACACACCCCACTCCCAGCTCAGGCTCCTCCTGTGCCTACCACCTGAGACCCTCCCATAGCCTCTGCTGAACTGGCTCCCTGCCCAAAAGGGGCACTGTCATCACGGGGGTTTGCAGGTGTCTCACCCTGCCTGTGATCCTTGGCTTCCCCATAAGGCTGTGGCCTCTCAGGAGCTGCCTGCCCTGCCAGTCATCCTCACCAGGCTCTCGGGCTGGAGGAGACAACTGCTCGGTGTCCAACTTCATATGCAAATATGGACACACCTATTAGAAGGTGCACCCTGAAAGTCCTGGCCTTAAATGTTAAATCAAAGGGTTGAAATTCAACCTGAGTGCACTGAGCATTTCCTGTGTTCCAGGCCTGTCCAGGGAGCTGCAGTCCAGCAGTGAGCAAGTAGGACCAAGTGCCTGTTCCCTTAGAGCTTAGTGTTCTTAGAGCCTGTTCCCTTAGACCTGCATGATAATTCCCATACTCAGGGTGTGACTGGCCCCCTCTGTGGAAATGGCTGCAGCTTCTGGGAAGAGGTTCCAATGGAGGCCCATATTGGGTGCGGGTTTTTGGAAACATCCCTGAGTCCCTGGGAGGACAACCGGGGGTGGGGAGCCTTCTGGGGTCAGAATCGAGAGGACAAGGGGGACTGTCAGGGAAGAACTGTTGCCTTGCAAGCATGCATCTAGCCGGAGAAACAAGGAAAAGGCACCTGGCACTGTTTGCTGGGTCTTCCCCATCTATGGGGGAAGGCTCAAGAAGGATGCACCAGAGATGCAAGGCACAGCAGGGGCTGCAGGCAGCTCTGCCCAAGGGGCCTCGGGAGCTTTCACCCTAGCTTCCACCTGGGGAGCTGTTTGAGCTCAACCTTGTCACACGAACGACGGCCAGGAAACTGCACATGCAAACTCGTGGATGCAGAAGGCCTGGTACATTCTCGGAATCCTAAGGAGTTCTGGATGGCTTAAAGCTGCTGGCGTGTGCAGAACTAAACATGAGGTGGGTGGGCAGGGGCCGTGTGGTGACAGCCATGAAGGCTGCATTCAAGAGCTGGGACCCATCAGAGGGCTTAGGGAGGCATGGCAAAGTCTTGGGCAGGAAAGCTATGCGGCTTGATTTGTGCCAGAGGACGAGCATCTGGGCAGAGATGAGGCACAGAAGCCATGTGGAAGCCAGCGAATTCATCCAGGTAAGAGGTGGTAGTGAGGGCAGTGGGCCCATGGGGAGGAGATGGACTCCAGACACGTTCGGGAAGAAGACAGGAAAACAGTGGCTGCTGATGCGGGGTGGGGCAATGGAGGCTGCAGAGCACTATGGGAATGGGCAAGAGAGACAAATATGGCCAAGACCTCAAACTGAGGTTGGTGCCTGGCCATGCTTCAGAAGAGAGGGCGGGGGAGGCCGGACTCTGCCTCCCTCGCAGGGGGAGTGCAAACTAAGCCAGAAATGTGACCACGAGAGGGAAGAGGGACAACAGGAGTTGAAACCCTGTTTTTAAGAGAGAGAAACACGGTTCATGTGCTAGTAGGAAGGAGCCAGCAAAGAAGGAAGAATGGCAGATTAGTGCTATGAGGTAACAATTGCTGACGCAGGAGCCTGGAGGAGCGGAAAAGATGGGATCCAGGGCACAGGAGGTGGGTGGAAAGGCTCTGAGCTGGGACGGCCTGCTTGTACAAGCTTCCAAACCGTTTTCCTTGCACCCAACCTCAAGGGCCAGCTGACAGGAGTCAGCAGAGGGTGGGGGTGGGGCCTTTGTGTAACCCACATCTGACCCTGTCCTACCGGCATATCTGACGACTCTCCACTGCCAACAAATAAAGCCAAAACATCTTAAGGGGACCTCTCAGTGGCTGTCACAAAGTCCGGCTCCAGCCCTTAGTGGAATGCCACATGCCTCCATCATAGCCTCCGTCCTCATTGCTGGGAAGGGCTCTCCTCCATCCCTCAGAGCCCCACTCAGACGACCCCTCCTCCTGGAAGCCCGCCCTGCCCGCCTGGCCCCGCGCAGTGGCGCTGCCTTCGCGGGAAGGGACCGCGTGCGGCGCCCCCGTGTGGCCGAGGGCCGCGGTGGCCGCGGCCGCCGGCAAGATGGCGGAGTCTCGGGCACCGCCCCTTCCGCCCCTGGCATCTGGGCGTCGCACGAGGCCTGCTTAAAGGGGAAGTGAGTCACTGTTTGCGGACCCGGCCGGCCGAGGCCCGCGCCCGCCGCGGCCCTGAAAGGCCCCGAGAGGCCCCGGCCCGGCGGCGGCGGCGGCGGCGGCCATGGCTGGGGGGCCGGGCCCGGAGGAAGCGGCGGCCCCGGGCGCACAGCACTTCTTGTACGAGGTGCCTCCCTGGGTCATGTGCCGCTTTTACAAAGTGATGGACGCCCTGGAGCCCAGCGACTGGTGCCAGTTTGGTGGGTGGCGTCGGGCTGGCGGACCTGCGGGGCGGGGGGCGAGCGGGCCCTGGAGCCCAGGTCTTACGACCCGCACCCCGCAGCCGCCCTGATTGTTCGCGACCAGACCGAGCTGCGGCTGTGCGAACGCTCCCGGCAGCGCACGGCCAGCGTCCTGTGGCCCTGGATCAACCGCAACGCCCGCGTGGCCGACCTTGTGCGCATCCTCACGCACCTGCAGTTGCTCCGTGCGCGGGACATCATCATGTCTTGTGAGCGCTCGGCCCTCGGGCTCTGAGACCCCAGGACCCCAGGGTTGGAGGCTTCCCACGGGGCTCCTGCCCCTGCCTGGGCCTAACCATCCTTTCCTTCCTTGACGTCCCAGGGCACCCTCCCACCCCCCTCCC